AAAAACTTCCTGATATTAAACAAAGTTTAAATATGAACAATGCTGTCCCCTGGATGGAGGAGACAAGGTTCCTTCTGTAAAGTATCTGTGACGACACACTTTACAGGACTATTTGTAAGAATTAATTGAGTAACTCCATGAGAACTTGCTTTAATTTGTAATTTTGGTAATCACCTATTTGATTTCATAGGATGATTCCCAATATAACTCTTAAGAAAGTTCCAACTTGTAAAATGAATACTTGTTTACAAAACCACATTAACAAGTTTACATTAAAAATCAATGAGAACCACCATCAAAACTGCCTGCACTTTCCTTGTTCATCTATCCCTTTGCCCCCTTTCAATAAGCTTATTAAGTACATGCCATCCCAATGCTATGTGCTGATATTATAGAATCAAGTGAGATGCAGCTGTGACTCAATAGAGACAACAATAACATAGCAAAAAGCATATGCACACATAATATAAGTGTGCAGTCAGTGGTATAGGGATATGGAGTAGATGTTCAGAAAGACCCAGTGCTTGCTACAGTATGCAGTCCTGCACATGTAGTTGTCAGAGCCATGTAAGTCTGTATAAGCCAGGAGAAGCAATGATTTTCATCAGTTATAGAGACTGAATGCCAGGGAAGTTTGCAAAGAAGGTAAGCGAGAGTATGAATCATACAGATCTGGGACTACATCTCTCCTCTTCCACTCCTTGGGTGATCTTCTAAGAAAGTTTATACCTATCAACACCAATTTTTTCCCTGATTAGCAGGTTATTATTTTTTAAAGGACTTTGTATAGTTTGCCAATCATATAGGAAACACTAGTCAAAGTAGTTTAAATGTTCAATTTTTATGTCTGTGTTATTTGAGACTAGTTCATTAAAAAGTAAAAGCATTTCCAAAAGGAAAAGCTTTTTCTAATATTGGGCAAACAATAAATATCTACTACCTTTATCCTCCAATATTATATTTTGTAGTAGCAAGGAAGTGTATCAAACTTTGATTTTCTTGATGTTTTCAAATAAGAGTGAGTTTTTACGAATCTTCTAATCTTATATGACAGTAACGAGCACATCTCTGAAAATGAAGTTTCCTTGGAATGGTTGACTTTTATTTTTAATGTTTTAAAAATCTTATTGCCATGATAAATACATATCAAAACATTGACGTCTTGGAATTATGCATGTGGAAGGAACTTAGAGGTCATCAGATTCAAATTCTTCATTTTAGAAAGGAAGAAACAAGAGCTGCAAAGTTGCATGACATGTTCTGGGCCACTCTCATACTTAAAAGGAAGATGAACGCCTTGCATAACATTTTTGTAATTATCCTTCAGTGCAAAGCCTAACTGATATGTTAGTGTTAAAAACAAAACAAACAAACAGAAACCAAGAAAACAAAGAGCATCCATTCCTAATCTCTAAACTGTCAGTGAAAAGGTTGTTCTCCTACGAAGGCTAGATTCAGTTCCTACCTCTACCTTGCTGAGAAGATAGACAACTGCAGGGTGTATTTACATGAACATGGTCTCAAGAAAACCATTGTTTTAAAATTACTACAGACTAATAAATGCAGTATATTATCAAGCAAATTTAATGTGTTCGAAAGTCTGTTGACATATTTTCAAACCAAAGAAAAAAACATAAAAAGCAGTAAGAGAAGTTATCTTTTTAGAAAGTGTTAAAAGTTTGTAGTCCCGGCCCTCCCTGGTGGCACAGCGGGTTAAAGCACTGCACTAAGAAGCTTAAGCCAATTCCGCATGAGTTCCATCCCCGCCCGCCCCCGAGGAGATCCACATGGCGTGGCAGACCTTTCCTGATCCGCCGGCTGCTCCCCTCAGCAGTGTACTTCGTTGATCTGCCTGTTCTGCTCCCTGCTCTGTTTCTGTTGAATCCTCTCACCCTCTGCATCTCTGGCCTGTACCCCAGTTCTGTATGAACAAAATAAATAAATCTTTAAAAAAAAAAAAAAACTTTGTAGTCCCATCCTAATTATTGTTTCTAACTGAGGCTGGGAAAGATGATTACAGAATGTGCTGACTGATGTCAATGATTATGTTTTTAGCCTCTTTGCAAGTAGAGTTTAGAAAGCTAACTTGAGAGATGAATTCACATGAGGTACGCAAAGAAAGATAAAATACAGGCATTCTTTTTGCTGATGTGTTAACAGAGGAAGGAGGATCTAAGGTTGATGTGAAAGCAGCTCCCCAGTTGTGATAGAGGCAGCAGGATTTGGGGGTCAGGAGTGCTCAGGTTTGAGGTGTGATTATGAGAATTCTTTTTGATATTCCAACCTAGAGTTTGTTCTTTGATTTTTCACTGGTCAATGAACTTTCTAATAGCGTTTAAAAGTCCTTCCTTCTTAAACCAGTTAGGGAATACTGTTATCTGCAACTAAGAATTCCGAGGAATAGACATGTATTTAAGGAAAATTTTTAAACCCAGTAATTTTAGGGAATTGGTTCTTCTTCACTCATGAAAAGAGTAATTTTATATGTTCAATTTCACATTTATAACATTTTTGTTTGTTATGTTTTGGGGAAATAGCTGAATGAAGAACACAAGAAGATTTTTATACTAAGGAAAAGGATGACTGCTTTTTGGGAGTGTGGAAGGCTATATAAATTGTATTTTATATATTACTATTCTTAAAAGCTCATAATTAGGCAAAGGCATACTACCTGAACACACACAAACATTAGAGTTTATTTTTTCTTTGTTTTTTGTTAGTGATGTTCTCTTTTATAATAATATTATATTTTATAAAATATAACAATATAGTAAATGTAAACTAAATGTGTATTATAATAAATGTGTGACTCTACAACAGAATAGTTACATATGTATAAAGACCACAAGCATTTTATACATTAACAGTTTGAAGTATGTCAGAAATGATACATAAATGGAGTTTAAAGAAATGTATTGGGGTCTCCCTGAGGGCACAAGGTGTTAAAGCACAGCAGTATGAAGCAAATTGCAGCCACTGTGGCAGAAGTTCCATCCCCAGCCAGGGAGGTGACCCACAAGGCCCTGTGACCTCTCCTGTCTCCTCACAGGTCCCCTCAGCAATGTATTTCACTCAGTTCACTAGTCCTGCTTCCCACTCCATCTCTGGTGAATCCTTTCACCCCCACACCTCTGGCTTATACCCCAGTTCTTCTATGCATAGATAAATCTTTTTTAAAAAGGAATGTACTAATATTTAAGATGAATACAATATACAATAATGTCCAAAATACTTTAAGTTCTTATTTTATGACTGAAGAGTAACTAGTTCAAATGAAGACTTCATAAGACTGAGAAGGAAAATTTTAAATGTAATTGTTTCTTCCAAATTTGTAATCCAAGCCATTAAAACTTTTTTTTTAAAAGATTTATTTATTTGTACATACAGAACTGGGGTACAGGCCAGAGGCTCAGGGGCGGTGAGAGGATTCACCAGAGACAGAGTGGGGAGCAGAACAGGCAGATCGACGAAGTACCCTGCTGAGGGGAGCAGCGGGCGGGTCAGGAGAGGTCTGCCACGCCATGTGGTCACCTCCTGGGCAGGCGGGAATCGAACTCATGTGGAAGTGGCTTTAGCTTCTCAGTGCAGTGCTTTAACCCGCTGCGCCACCAGGGAGGGCCCCAAGCCATTAAAACTTAAAGCCTCAAGTGCTTAGTGGAGGTGCTGGATAGTTATGGTTCCTTTATGAAAGCCTGAAATAATACAAACTGATTTTGAAGACTTACTGGCATGTCAAATGGCATGTCCAAATTCAGCAGAATCAATGGATTATTTAACTTCTTGGAAGGTGCCTGCGAAACAAATTTCTGAGAACTCGAATTTGAAATCTTGAAAGGCACAGAGGCCACAAAGGACTGTTTGGATAGGGACCAGGATCTGTTCATTTTAATTAGGTCTTTCAGCATTTATAATGTAAGTAATTTTATTTTTATATTTTTAAAAGATTTATTTATGTATACAAGAACTCCGGTATACGCCAAAGGTGTGAGGGGTAAGAGATTTCATCAGAGACAGAGTGGGAAGCAGAACAGGCAAATTGAAATACACTGCTGAGGGCAGCATTGGGCAGGACAGGAGAGGTATGCCCCACCATGTGGTCCCTCCCTGGTGGGGAATTGACTTCCTGCTGCAATGGCTGCAGATTGCTTCATACTGCTCTGCTTTAACCTGTGTGCCACCAGGGAGGACCTAGTGTTAGTAATTTTAAATGTTCCTAAATTTTGTCCATCATCAGCCTAGAGCTAGGAGATTCTTCTGAGTGAATTTGGGAATGGCAGGAAGCTCCCCAGGAGAGGGCAGCATCATACAAGAGGCCAAGCCCATGGTGGGGGAGGGGGGTGAGGACCCCAGGATAGTTCAAAGGAATGAGAAATAAAAGACATAGAGGACAGCTTCCCTGGGGTGTCAGAAATGGAAGTCAGAAAATTGCCAGGGAGAAATTGGTGCAGCCCAATAAACATTTAATTTAAGAAGGATGGATGATAGACAAGGATGATTGCCTGCCATGGTGACTATTTTCTTAAGAGTGAAACTGCAAATACCTTGCAGTCTGTTAAAAAGCAAGGGCACTGATAGGAATGACAAGGTAACATATTTGGTATATATTGTTCTGGAAAGTTCCAGACTTGTGCCTCACAGAATAAAAGATAGAATCTTAGGGTTTTAGTGCCAGTTCAGGTCCAATCTTTCCCTAAAGGGATTCACTCTGAGGTAACAGCTGATGGAGAAACATTTGGTTCCTGAAGAGAACATATTCCTGATGCTGATGGAAGACTGTTAAGACAATAGGGGGAGGAGGAGTAAGCAATATCAAACAGAAACAAAAGGGACAGAGAATGGATGGTTGAACTGGAGTGGGGAGGAATAAAGAGAAATAGCCAGAGTAGGAATGTTTAATTTGGTAGGTGAAAGTTACTAACACTCACTGATTCAGTTATGGGATAACAGGGGAAGACTACAACTAAATTTTTTCTTTTTCATTATGCTTTTTCAAAAAAATTTTCTGTTTTCCATGGAAGCAGCCCAAATGCACAAAAGTAGATGACTGGATTAGAAAGATGTGGTACATATATACAATGGAATATTACTCAGCAACCAAAAAAGAGAAACACATGTCTTTTGC